CTGGGTCCTCAGCTACTGCACCGGTGTTATACGAAGAAAGAGAGAGAGAGTGAGTGAAAGAGAGAGAGAGAAAGAGAGAGAGAGACTTTCTGCCTCCAGCTTCACATCTGCAGGGAAAACCTCCTTTTGAGACATGAAGGGTCTTAGTTCTATTTTTGTCTGTAATTTGGGCAGTTTTTTTTTATGCTACTAGCATACAAATCTAAAAAAAAAAGAAGAAAAAAATACCCTCTCTTTTTAAGTGCCTCTGGAGCTGAGTCACTTTCCCTTTTTAGGACAGGGCTATTAGAATCACCGCTTTAATTTTTCTCCTTTGATGACCTGGCTGCACTTTCTACCCAGCCCTCCCTTAATTATATTTATCCGTCTTTTATTTCACAGGGGCGTGTTATAACAACAAGGCATCTTATATTTCCAGAGGACAAAGGCCTTGTATTTAGGCCTAAATGTGCATAGTTGGAATTAAACTTTTTTCAGACTGCAATGTGGTATGAAAAGGAAAAAAACAAAACAAACTCGGGAGTTATTTATGTTTTGGCTGAGTGATTTTACAGTTTTCTGGAATGATATAAACCCAGAAGTCTGTAAACTTTTGAGTCAAGAGGATAAGATGATCTCATCTCTTGTGTAGAGGTTACTTTAGTTGGCTACAGGGTTTCGACAACTTCCTCTGCACCATAATTTCCAAAAAGCATGGGATACGGGCTTAAAAATGTAAACAGGAAAATCATTTTCCAGCTTAATCGTGACTGGACATTTTATTGACCTTACACAATAATAGGCCAAATTATTATCACGCCCCCAGCAAGCCCACTGTGGCCAGATGGAGGAGAAAGGCCATCCATGGGTCTGTCTTTCCCTCTCTATGCTGATCCTGGAAAGCCTCTCTATGTCTTTCTCCATCACTCTGCCTCTGGTGTCTTTCTCACAAGCAGCATTTTTGTGTTATTACCTCACCCATTATGGCTTCCAGATGTCCCTCCGTCCCACTCTGGAATTGGGGATGGGGTTAGAGTGCGGTGTAAGACTTGGACACTTACTGTAACCGTCTCTGCAGCAGACCGAGCCTGCTGAGCATGCGATGCTTTTTATGTCTCCGTCTCGCATCTCGCGGACTTTCTTGGCCCACATCAGCCTCTCTCTCCTACAAGCTCCAATGGATTGCATTTATTCTCCCCATAATATAACACTGCTTTATTTGGCTTAATTTGTAAAACTATCAAATATACCTACTGATATGACTCTTTTGTGCAGTTACAGTATATCTTTTTACTTTTTTAATGTGAAAATATCTGTTCTTTATATGTCTTTGCCTTTACCGTAACCCTAGCCAAAATGCTAAATATTAAAAGTTTTATCTTCCCATAAAAAAAGAAAAGCATGTTCTCAAAAAACTTGACATGTTGGTTTCATCAGTTTGAAGAAAAAGAATTTGATACTACATGCATCAATAATAACATCAATACATCTACAGATGTCGGCTACAGTTTAATAAATTGGCATTTGCAATTTTAAATGCACAGCACAGTGGCCAGAAGTGAAGCTTCCACCTGGCGACCTTGTGCAATTCAATAGGACAAAAATAATTAAAGGTAACAATTATCGCTTTATTGAATCATTGCATTAGAGCTTCCGCTTGCTCAGAACTTGTTGGGTAGCAGTTCATGTCAAATCTAGTAGGCATTTTTTATTTTTTGATGTGTCCAAAATCAAACCTCAATTTGATCCATAAAAATCCCCAAAGGCTTTTACATTCTCAGTTCTCTGTATCGGCATGGAGTGGAACAGATGGTGGATGAATGACAGACATCTGAAACACTCCAAATACTTGAAAAACAACATGGGTGGGGTTTGCCCTCTAGCCTTTTTGTCTTCATGCTCCTGTCCACCCATGTCCTCACTCCATGTGTGGTGTTCTGTCTTTATTTTTCCATCTCTTTACTCTCACATACAGCTCCTTTTAATATACAGATGTGATATATACGGTATAGATAGATAGATAGATAGATAGATAGATAGATAGATAGATAGATAGATAGATAGATAGATAGATAGATAGATAGATTTATTTATTCATTCATCCCCGAAGGGAAATTTGGTTGCTGTAGCAGTCCGGCTGTAGGATACAATATTTTACAAGTACAAGTTAGTCCTGTTCAGTGATTGGGGCCCTGCCAGGGGCAAATGAGTTGTTGAGTGTTATTGCTGTAGGTAGGAACAATTTCCTGTATACATGTATATTATGTAAATTTTGCCACAATGGCTGGAGCGGGAGGTTTCTAAAGGTAAAGATATCGCATGTAGAAAGACTGTTGTACTTCAAGTTAGATTCTCATACATACCCACAAAACGTGGAACGGACCAAGGATGAGTCTTGTTGCCAGTGGCTTCTACATTTCGCACAAAAAGAGCTCCGCTTTTACGCGTGGGAATGAGCCGAGACGCGTCTGATAATCTTACAGTATTTTGGGCTAAACCAGTTTGGCCAAATGGATTAAGTGGCATCTCGTGTTTTTCCAGTTTCAGTTTATCGTATTCATAATATTTATTATCAAAGGTTTTTTCCTCTTTTCTTTTTAGTGTGGCGTACATGCTGCTGTATGTGTAGCTACCAGTATCTGTGCTCATCCCATCAAAGATGAGAAAAGAAAAAAGATGAGTGACATGTCATCTATTTTCCAGTCTTGGCTCACTCATTGCAAAACAGTTTGAACAAAGAGCACCAGTCATGCTACGGCTCGGATAGTCACCTTCAAGCGTTGCTACAGTTTCTTAACACACACCTTGTCATGGCAACGGTTGCTATGTTTAGGTCAATGTGTATAGTTTGCCGGTGAGCTCAGATGTTTGATCTAAGTGTATTTAACCGTGTTGTAAAAAAAAGAAAAAAAAGACGGATGTAGCTGCCTGTTAAGATAAAGTACAGAGGCATTGATCCCAGAGTAAATAGTGATTCTGGTTACAGCCAATTCCTCTTTGAGTATCTTGTATGTTGACACTGTAGACTGATATATTAGCCGAGTATTTCCAAGCACACCCACCCGCAAACTATTGGAATATAGTTTATAGATTACAGGCTGGAATAAGAGATACAATAGCTAGCCTGTTGATGGGAAAGTCAATGGCTTCTCTTCCTCACAGAAGATATTTTTGTCATGTGTTCATATTCCCAGAAGCCGCAGTTGACAATTATGTCAGGTGTGTGGATCCAGAGCTGGTGCGCATGCACATATTTGTATGCGTCTGTGTTTGTACATGTACTCTGTTGTGGACAGGGACTGTGGGCTCCTGGCTAAGAGATGAAAGACATTTCTCATGTAGCTGCTTTAGTGGAGCTCCCGAGTCAGCGTGCAGCCACTAATCACTGTTTGCTCCCTCTCCGCTTGCCGGACCGCCCCCACACCCCTCAACCCACCACACTCTATGGCTTACCACCCTGTTAGCTCCACATCGTACATGTCAGACATGAACATTTGACTATACTGCAGCCTTTAGCCATGTCAGTTTGAAAGGCATGTTCCTATTTCCAGCTTCTGCGATCAGTTCAGACGCGATGCAGAAGACAGTTAAGGGTGAGAAAGACCCTTTCAAACTACACAAGCCAGGTTTCTATTCACTGGCAGTGTAAATCTGAGCCGGTCATTCAAAAAAGAAAGGAAGCTTTTCTACAAACTGTTTTGAAATGCATTAATAAGGTTGTTTGTTTTGCCAAAGGACGGCATTAACTTGGTTGTTATTGCCTATAATTCAGTTGGAAATGTGTCCAAAGCAAACAACAACAACTAAAGTAGACATCCACAATAAGAAAATTGACAGATTTTCATGTGCAATTACTGTCACATTGGGTTCATAATGGAGAAAGTGCTCGTTTTTTCTATTCATTTGTCGGTTTAAGAAATTCTATTGACTTCTCCAAGGTTGTGTTATTTTTGAGGGACTTTATTTAAGCCCTGGTGCTATACTTCTCAGGGCTGAGCATTAAAAGTGCAAAATTTGCCATGCAGACCATAATCCACACCAACTATGTCTCACTCTGCTCCCTAACAAATCCTGGTGCCTCCAACATGAAATGTGAATGTACACATGTAAACATTCCCAACTAACCGCATATATGTAAAAAGTTCTTTCTGAAATTTCTTCTGGGAAAGATACTGACCCATGTAGCCAACTTCAACCCATGAAGTGCATTTACTCTGACGTTCGGCATTGTTTTGGAGGTCTCTGAATCGCAATAAAACGGCAGCATGGTTTAGCATTGTATCCCACTGGTATGCATCCGATTCTTTAACTTTTCAGGGCAGACAGCCCTCTTTGTGCAGCAGTGAGTAGGCCATAGTTCGGGTTCACATTCCTCCATTTAGCACTCCTGAGATGACAGTAATTATTGAAATGGCTGTCTTCAATTTGGGATGTCTATAAAGGATTAGGCCGTAAATCCTTGTCATTTCAGCTTTTTTCCCATTTCACAAAATTGTAGCTTATCTTGGCTCGTGCTCGTGACAAAAAAGACTCCAGCGTCGCATTCTGAGATGTGAATTTATAAATTGTGGAGCTCTCTGTGGTTGTTTATTACAAAGTCGACTGGGTTAATTTTTTGGAAGCGATATTTTGTTTCCAGTACTAAATTTTGGGGCTTTCCAGATCTCTGTGCCATGTATTATTCTCTCGTCTTGATTTTGTGTTTTTATTGGAAATTGTGCTGGCTGGTTAGATAATAAATTAGAAAAATAATAAATAAATCACACACAGGAAATTATTTAGTGAGGAAATTCTTTTGTGTTACAGATTTGTTTGAAATGTTCCAAATAGCTACCCAATCACTGTCCCACCACCTCTGACATGACACGGTTGATCAATCACTACATGTATCTTCAGTGTTTCTAGGTCTGTAACTTGGGGAGGGGCTAAGAAAGTGGGGGAACGCGTTTCCCACGTCAGGTGTTTCCTAGCTCAACTTTGCATGAGGGCCGAGTTTCTTGTTTGTTTTGGGGTTGGAGAACATGCTGCCTGGGCCCGTACTACTCCTCCGCCCTGCGGTTGGGGCAGAGCGGATCAGCTGTCAGAGGATCCGGGAGAGATTGCTGAGCTACGAGCGACCTGTTTGTTTTATTTCAGCAGGCATTTCCCTGTTTAACAGTGGGGGAACGTCCTCTTCCCCAACACTGGAGTTTGTGTAAAGTCATGGCAACCAGATGTGGTGAGGGCAATGTTGGCCCTCTGAGGGTTGCAGACAGGCCAGAGAATCAGTTTGACAGATTATCTGACAGAAACACACTCTACTGCAGATAAAAACTCAAAATTTTAAGTATGTTGGGTTTTTTTTTCTTTCATTTTCACTGTGTTATCAAAAATCAGTGATATCATTTGAGCCAATATACTGACCTTGGTGAACTAGCAGCCAATTCAGGTTATCCTTGGCACGCTGGGATCATGTAAACCAGGAAGCGGCTGAATAGCTTTCCACAAATGAGGGAAATGCTGACTTTGTCTGCTTAGATGAAATCTCTCGACCTTTGTTAGAGAACGTTGGCAACTCCTGCAGATACCCCCCCTCCTCCCCTCCCCCAACAGGAACCATGACTACAAGCGAAACAATAGCTAAACTTTTATAATTTAGCTTTTCTGTGTCCGGTGTTGTTTTCTGTAAAGAGTAACAGGTGCTTTCTAACACCGATAAAGCCATTTCAAACAGCATGGAGCCGGAGAGATATGAGCATGTTTGTCATAGTGCATTTTGGGGGTTAACGCAAAACTATCTGAAGTACCTTTGCATGAACATGTGCAAATGTTTAATCTGTCCATATACTATGGGCTGATAAATGACAAATGGAAGTAGTTTGCTCCAATTCCTTGGTTTTCCAGAGATTGCCACCCTGACTCCTGATATGTTTTGATATGAGTCCAGTTGATTAGATATAAGAAGTGGCGTATTTACTGGATAAAATACCATTATAGTTTCTACAGCCATGTGTTGTTGTCCTGTGTGTTCCATGTATATTCTGATTATCCTGATTCCTCTTTTGGGTCCCCTTCTGCCCCTTGACTCTGACTAACTCGTACTGACAAAAATACCTGATGATATTTTTATGTTGTGTGCAATAAAGAAAACACATCTTTTGACCTTAACAGCTGTCGCCTCTCTTTCTCTCTCCAGCCAAACCCTTCACCTCCAAAGTGAAGCAGATGCGCCTGCACAAGGAAGACTTTGAGATCCTCAAAGTGATTGGACGAGGAGCCTTCGGAGAGGTAATGTGCCATCTGTGTTCTGTTCTGATAGTGACCTTTCAGCCTTTACAGCATTTCCTTGCACACAGTTTCCCACGCTGAGACTGAGGTAACTCTGCAGCTATTTAGTGTATAATTTACACATATAATTGAAACAGCTTAGCGCTGCTAAGGAAGAAGAAAGATCATTGGTTGTTGAGTTCCGTCTGTTGTTTGTCAGGTACATTTCTTAGAAGTGGTTTTAAATGAAAACACATGCATTTTAGAGCCTTCACCCACCCTCCAAATGCATCCTGAAGTTGGTCCTTTTCGTCTGATCGTCTGTCTTGACCAAACCCGTTGCTAAGTTGTACCGTTCTTCTCCCAGGTAGACATTTAAGAAACTATTCCTAGAACACTAAGGGCCAGTACAGGCTTATCTTGCACCCTCATGTCTTGATACTTGGGTTGAAAAAGGGATGGTGTTGTTTTATTTGTTAGTGAATTTCTTTGTGCTGCATTCCATAAGCGGTACGTCGAATTGGTCTGACACACAAGCGTGACTCCACTTGCTTCTCAGACTGAAAAATTAGCCTTCTTTCAAAGTGAACTAGCAGTAAATTAAAGCGGCAGAGGATAATAGCGTTCAAACTGTTCGTCTGTTTATGTGTACCTGGGGAGGAGGAGGCTTATGTCACTGGGTTTCAGGTAATGATGCATAAGCCGGGGAATGCTGGAGGGACAGGTACAATGTTCCACTGCCAGAAGTCTTGCACAATCTCTCAATGTCCCGTAAAAACCCTGCAACCTCGAGCTAAACATTTTTATCTCAGACTTGTTTGTTCAGTTACAGCATTCCTTATCATCTGTGCTGTACGACTCCTCACATCAATCTCTGAAGTTTGTGTCACACTCTTCCTTTTAAAACGGCCTGTTAGGGCTAGTGTGAAGGGTTGATGGATGGAATAGATCTTGGGAGGAACTTGACAGCATTTGGCTGCACCACCTCAACATGCAGCCATCCCGACTTGAGCCTCTGTAGGGTGTGCTGGTATGTTCTTGGTGAGTCATGTCACTTGTTTGTGTTTCAGGTTTGTGTTCAGCAATGTGGCCCATGGATGGTACCGCCTTGTTGTAACTTTCCAGCCTCCTCCTAATAATCCAGCGGCTTGTACCAGTTTGTCTCAGCAGTAAAAATTAATCAGGGGGATGTAACAGTTGTCCCGTGGCTCTGCTCCCTAATCACATAATAGAAAAGTAGAGCGAGCCGAGGCTGAATGAGAATCTACGACTTAGCGATGCAAAATCCTCGGATGAACAAAAACTCATCACATGTAACAACGCGTCCATTATTCGTTTAACGAATCTGAGCCAAAATGTTGATGCAGCGTGTGAAAAAACTAAGTGCGGCTCTACAGTTTTCATTTTATTAGAAATAAAATGGCGTTTACTCAGCCCTGAAGGTTCGGCCCAGTTTTTGTCGTTTCTCTTTATGAATTACAGCCAAGCAGAATGGCACCTGACACACAGAGAACAAAGAAAGACATGCGACAACTATAGACTGCCTAAACCTCAGTGGTGTTGGTTTGGATATTACGCAGCAACAACTTTTATGGTCACAGAAATGACGAAATTACACCTTTCTTGCCCCGTTTTTAAAATGGGTGGGGTTTAGCTGGCAGATTCGCTATCTAATTAGATATGACCCCCTGGCCAATCAGTGCCCGGCAGTCTGCCGTCAGCCCCATTGGAAGCCCCCCCGGTGCCAAAGTTGTCACTGTTTTGTTGGACCAGCCCCTAGCAGAGGCGTAGAGCTATGCTAAATGACGATCATAATGAGTGTGAGCACTTCTATAAAAGCAGAGGTTTGGTTGGTTTTCTGCTCTGGAGCATTCAGCTTTGTCAGCTTAACACAATGCCAAGGAGGTAATGCATCAGCAGCGATCGTAGAGAACCAGTTGCTGGAAGATTTGATCTGAACATTCTGCACCAGATCAGCAGAAACATGGAGATGATGACACCTTTCAGTCAATGAGTCCACCATGACTAGAGTGTTCTAAAAGTCAAATGTGAAGCATTCAAAGCTTGGCTCCAGGACAGTGCTCCCAAACACAGTATAGCAGCCTATCTATAATGGAATATCTGAAAAAGAAAAGACCCAAAAAGCTGCAGTTGTCCTGTATTCAGACTATGTCTACCCGATTCTTTGAGATGCTGAGGACATCATCATTCATCCTTATTTTTAAATATATATATATTTTTAAATAAAGTATACTCCTTTGGACCACATAAATAACCGTCCAGTTAATGCTCCATTTCATTCAAGTTTTTAATGCCTTTTTTCCCTAAATATATTGAATCAAAGTTTGTTCAGCCATTCTGGGTCATTTCACTTAGAAAAAGGGGCCTCAGTCTTAAAGTCCTGAGTTTGAGGTTTATTGGCAGTTTTTCAGGGATGGTGCATTCTGGTAAAAATGGAGAAAGTCCACCACTCAGAGTGGGTGTAGGGTGGTAACATACTGAGAAAAAACAAGTTAATGAAGAAAAAAACACATGGAGTCAGAGACAGTGGAGAAAGGCCTGGACGCAGGATGTACGTGAGGACTGATTTATCTCATATGCCACTCAAATGGACAACAGTGTCTGGGATTGTTTTCTGAATGTGTTTTTAAGCTTGAGGTAAGCAAGGCCGAGGTCAAACCATCAGGCATTGTTTCACTTTTTTCAGGGCTTTGTCACGTCGGGTCACAAGTCAGCCGCTTAATAGCTTCCACCTATAGCTAGTGGCTTTAAAACAAAGCCTCTCTTTTTGAATATTTAGAGGAGTGGCTTTAGTTTGTTTCCACTTACATGTTCATCTGCGATGGGGGCGAGGGAGAAGACACACGGGGTACACACCGGTTTTCTTATCGAACGCAGAGCCCCAAAGCCCCCAAAGGAAGAGAGCAGAAAGACAAAAAACGTTCAGGGATTGCCAAAAACAGGAGACTCCCCTTTTTCCTCCTGCCGTCCTCTTTCGTTCCTCCTCTCCTCTAGTGAGGGATCACTGGGGGAAATCCAAACACTGCAGGAATGTTATCATTGTATTGCATTAGCAGCATTCCGCTGGTTAATTTAATAGACTACAGACCCCTCTGCATTTGTTTCACTACTTGTGAAAGACTTGTGTTTACATCTTTGGGTCTTGTCAATTAAAGCAGGGTTGCATGTGAGGTTCTCGAAGGAGGCCAAAGTAAAGCATGGGCCAGTCTGCTGGAAGAGATGACAAAAGAATCATAGAAACAAATGAGCAAGTGCTTCAGCTTGCAGCAGTGTGTCACAGCAGTCTGTTCAGCTCCTTTTTAGGCAAAATCTAAAACTAGAGTTGGGGAAGTTTGTCAGGGCTATGTTTAGCAATTAGCGGTGAAGGGAAAGTTGGCAGTTGTTCTCCTGTTAAGATGGCACAATCTAAGCTATTAAACAGCCTGAACTGAGACGTTGAGCAGCTCACTGTGTTGGACACAATGGAAAAAGGTCACATTGGTAGTTAATGATATTGTTGTTTAGTCTGTGTGATAATTTATTTAAGATTCAGCTGTACTGTTAGTTTGGAATTTTACATAATTAAGATATAATGGTGTGTAATGGCAACAGTTTTGTTTACATACATTAGCCAATCTGGATATATGGTTCTTGGAGTCATGGTTCACAACTAGCATATAGTTGGACACACTGAAATACAGGGGTTGGACAATGAAACTGAAACACCTGGTTTTGGACCACAATACTTCATTAGTATGGTGTAGGGCCTCCTTTTGCGGCCAATACAGCGTCAATTCATCTTGGGAATGACATATACAAGTCCTGCACAGTGGTCAGAGGGATTTTAAGCCATTCTTCTTGCAGGATAGAGGCTAGGTCACGACGTGATGCTGGTGGAGGAAAATGTTTCCTGACTCGCTCCTCCAAAACATCCCAAAGTGGCTCAATAATATTGAGATCTGGTGACTGTGCAGGCCATGGGAGATGTTCAACTTCACTTTCATGTTCATCAAACCAATCTTTCACCAGTCTTGCTGTGTGTATTGGTGCATTGTCATCCTGATACACGGCACCTCCTTCAGGATACAATGTTTGAACTATTGGATGCACATGGTCCTCCAAAATGGTTCGGTAGTCCTTGCCAGTGACGCGCCCATGTAGCACAAGTATGGGGCCAAAGGAATGCCATGATATGGCAGCCCAAACCATCACTGATCTACCCCCATGCTTCACTCTGGGGATGCAACAGTCTGGGTGGTACGCTTCTTTGGGGCTTCTCCACACCTTAACTCTCCCAGATGTGGGGAAAACAGTAAAGTTGGACTCATCAGAGAACAATACGTGTTTCACATTGTCCACATCCCAAGATTTGCGCTCCTTGCACCATTGAAACAGACGTTTGGCATTGGCACGAGTGACCAAAGGTTTGGCTATAGCAGGCCGGCCGTGTATATTGACCCTGTGAAGCTCCCGACGGACAGTTTTGGTGGAAAAAGGAGAGTTGAGGTGCACATTTAACTCTGCCGTGATTTGGGCAGCCGTGGTTTTATGTTTTTTGGATACAATCCGGGTTAGCACCCGAACATCCCTTTCAGACAGCTTCCTCTTGCGTCCCCCGTTAATCCTGTTGGATGTGGTCCGTCCTTCTTGGTGGTGTGCTGACATTACCCTGGAGACCGTGGCTCTTGATACATCACAAACACTTGCTGTCTTGGTCATAGATGTGCCAGCAAGACGTGCACCAACAATTGGTCCTCTTTTGAACTCTGGTATGTCACCCATAATGTTGTGTGCGTTGCAATATTTTGAGCAAAACTGTGCTTTTACCCTGCTAATTGGACCTTCACAGTCTGCTCTTATTGGTTCAATGTGCAACTAATGAAGATTGGCCACCAGGCTGGTCAAATTTAGCCATGAAACCTCACACACTAAAATGAGAGGTCTTTCAGTTTCATTGTCCAACCCCTGTATATAACTATGTAGAAACTAACAAAAAGCGATCCGTGTTGCGGATCGAAGGCTCCCTTTGAAAAACCTCCTTTAAAAAAAATCATATCTGTTTAAATCACATGACCTTAATGCAAAATAGCACTTTAGCTTCTAATGTGAGCTCATAAGCATCTCTAATAATTCTACTTGTATGACTTTTTCTATCAGATGTTCAGCTAAAAGTGTTTTCTTCTTTTCCTCTTTTTTTTTTTTCTACTTTACAGGTTGCAGTTGTAAAAGTGAAAAACACTGACAAGGTGTTCGCCATGAAGATCCTCAACAAGTGGGAGATGCTGAAGCGAGCCGAGGTTAGTGTGACTGCTGAAAGAGCAGAAACCCCTTCGCCCTGTTTAGGAGCATCTCAAAGAAAATAATAACCAGGAAGGAAGGGCGGTCCGCTTAAACTTAAGCCACATTTATCCACATTCAAATTGGAGTGCCTGCATGCTTTTCTCATCCACCTCCTCGTGACAGTTTAACATTCCTGTCGGTCCCCCGGGTCCCCAATCTTCATGCCCAATACATCATAAGGCAAAAGTGCTTGACGTTTGTGTGTATAAACGTCTGGACATGGGAAACGGTGCAGACTCGCAGATGTACAGTAAGCTAAGTCACTGTGCATCACCATAGGACGATATCCCCCAGCCCGAGTGACCTATTATTGTCTGGCCAGCAAAAAAAATAGACCGTTTACAGCAGAGATGGGTAACCTTTTCTCCATCTCCATCTAAACCCATGTTACGTCACAATCCTAAACGAAATAGCCAACAAGATCACGTTATCTTTATTAAGCTTTTGCAAATATTTGTAATTTGCAGTTGTTTTAGACAGCTCAAATTTACAAAACTACAATATCTAGCCAGATGTGGTATTTTAACAGGTATGTTCATTTCTGACACTGAAGCTGTCACGTTTTGTTTTACAACCCTACTTCTCACTCGACTGTTTGCTTTCCTGTCAGTTCCATACACAATTCATCTGTTTTGTGTTAAGTTGTGTGGCAGTCCATATAATAAGGTCCGAAGGGCCGTATAAGGCCCTGAGGCCAGAGATTCCCCCACCCCCGGCTTGGGGTGCGAACATACTTAACATGCCACTGCTCAGATGTGAGAATAGTCCTCATCAGACAGAAGTTTGTTTTCCGCTTTACATGGAGCTCTGATCAGCCGCTGGAGTTGCATTACAGCTTGTCATTTTTTTGATGTGCGCTCCAGTTTGTATGAAGGTTATTACAGAATTCTAAATAAAACAATAGCCTCCAAAAATCATTAAAACCTCCCACTTTACAAAACACTCCCTGGCACTAAGATTGTGTCCTCTGACATACAGTGAAGTGTAAAGTTTGGTGTGTGTCCCTTTAGACGGCCTGTTTCCGCGAGGAGCGAGATGTGTTGGTAAATGGGGACTGCCAGTGGATCACCACCCTGCACTACGCCTTCCAGGACGACAACAATTTGGTAACCCCCCTTTTCTCACAGTGTGTGTGATGTGTACTTGTTGCATTTTGTTATTGAATTAGTTGGTTAGTTGCAACTATACATGTTACTCCTTCTGTCTCCACTGTTTTTCTCAGTCACCAATTAGTTCTGTACAGTCGATGGTAATGACTCATTTGCTGTTTCTCCCTTCTTTTGGTTCATTTATAGAGCAGAGCACCACACAAACCAGCACATTCACTTGTCACCACAAAGCGCAGTGAACTTGAATAGAAGGAAATTAGGCAACAGAAGTAAACAGGCCCCAAGAAACTTTAATTTGAAAAAAACCAAAAGAAAAGTTTTTAAATGGGGCAGACGCTTTAGGAGCCAAGCTATTTTCTCTCTTTGCTTGGCTGCTGGAGGTGGCAGTTCTCTCTGCAACCTGACAGTTTGTCCTCTCTCAGTGACCCTGAGTTCAAATGCCAGAACTGCTTGTCATTCCATTTCCCACATTCTCACAACAAATGCTGGACACTCCCCAAGGCTTTGAAAGGCACACCACCGTCCGGCCTTTTTTTCTTTTTTCTTTTTCTAAGGCAAATCTTGAAAAGCAAATCTATGTATGCCATTTCTTTTGCTCTCTTTTGCTCTTTGAAGATACCTGTTGGAGGGAGGGAAACAGGAAAAGATGGAGGACGGTGTTTTTTTTTGTAAATGTCTTTGTTTTATAGTTTCTCTGCGTCAACACTCACTGAGGTTTTTCTGCTTTCTGCAGTACCTGGTCATGGACTACTATGTGGGTGGTGACCTGCTAACGCTCCTCAGCAAGTTTGAGGACCGCCTACCAGAGGACATGGCCAAGTTCTACCTTGCTGAGATGGTGCTGGCCATAGACTCTGTTCACCAGCTCCACTATGTCCACAGGTAAATGTTGAGTGTTGGCTCGTTAGGGGAATCTGTGTGACTCAAATAATTTCTTTTGGCGAGAAGCTGACTATGCAATAAATCCTGATGATAGATGTTTACTATATCTACACTACTTCCTGCAGCACGGGAAATATTCCAGCTGTGGGGAGCCACAGAAACAAAAAGAAAATAAATTAAAACTGTGGAAAATGTGCGCACATGTTTCTCTTCAGTCATCATCGAAGATGGTTAATACGTCTGAGTGATAACACAGCGTATTAGCTTATGGTCCTCCGTGTGTTCATTTATTTTAAAAGTTCCTGCAACATGTTAGAAGAGTGCATGTACCATGTGACACACATGGTTCTGCTCATTCCAATCCCAAAATCTGTTATGAAAACACAAGGGGGGAAAGTGCACACAATGGCGTAAAAGTGGTCCTTTAACAGGGAATGCTAATGCTTTTCTGTTATTGATGCAGCACCGTGGCAGAGCTTCGTCTTCGTCCAAATGTTTTAATTTTATTTTCATTTTCTGCAACAGTAAGAAGCCATTTTAAGTGAAAAGGAAAAACAAATATTTCGATTAAACAACATGCTACCTGGTCGGATGTAAAAGTCACACTGTTGGACACCCACTCAAAACAGAGGAGCCTTAATTGGAGATTAGTGTCCTATTTGTAACTATGGAAGCTGGATTTTAGGGGATGGGGAGGGGGAGGGCAAAGTTTATATGCTGCTGATAATTTTGTCTGAGTCAAAGGGTTTAAACTGTCTGTGTGGGTACAGGAGAGATGCCCTGCCAATTCCTCCGAGTTTATGAGCACGCACTGATGCGGCGCTGTTACGACCCACTCTAAAAGAGAAACAGCTGTGGCTTCGCATTTGAGATTAGCTGGTGCTTAACTTTCACATTTGTAAAGAATAAAGCTAAGTACATTTACAAACAAATGAGCAGCTGCAAAAAAGGCTCTTATGTTTTATTTCTATTCAGTTTTACTTTGAAAAATTAATCTGAAGACTGGCAACTAAAGCTTGCCAGGCAATTAATGTTCCTCTAACTTAAACAACGAGCAGTGTTCCTCAAGTCCTGTGTGGGCAGCACTGAACCCTCCGATTTTCTGTGACCACTGTGCTGCGAGGTACAGGAAGGTACAGGCAGTACAGGAAAGCTGGTGCAGAAATGTATCTTCAGACACAATGACATTGTAAAAAGAATTTGTTCAGATTCATATGTAATATCGATATTTTGTGTATGGAATTCAAGGCAGGTTTAGACGAAAAGTCCAAGAACACATGCTGGTGTGTTAGGGGCCTCAACCCATGTTGGCCTCCCGTCCTCAAGGTGGCCGAAAACCAAAACTACCTAAAAGCGCATTGTTCACTGGGCATTGCATGGGAAACTGTTTTTCTCGCTGACGTAGATGCCAGAAGAATTTTTCGGCCAACCGAAGATGCCCTTGGGAGCAGGATACAAGGCTTTTTCAGACAGGAAGCAGTCACATCGGCATGCTAACATAATTACACTGTCGCTTATGCCGAGGGGCTTGTCGCAGCACAAGTAGTGAGAGAATGATGGATAGACAGAGGAAAAGATGTGAGATAATTGGGGAAAAAAGGGAGGGTCAGAGAAAGGCTAAGATAAAGCCAGGCGGCTTGGTATTTTGGGTGTGACTGTAGTTACTCAGATCTGTAATACACCATTACACAGTCATACACACACTCTGACACACACAGGGTGACAACGACAGAGTCTAACAGATATGTGTGTCTTTATGTATATATTTATATATGTATATGTAAAGGGCAGGAGTGAGGGAGATGAGTGGGGAGCCAGTAATTACATGGTGTTATCTGGGGGCTGTGGGTGGGGGTTGGTGGTTGCAACTGCGACAGAAGTGGATGGAAAGGAAAAAGGGGTGGGGAGGAGGGGGTGGCACTGTCTCTCTTTTGGTCCCCTTGTGGACACTTTGGGACAGTAATGATAGGGTTTAGGAGGAGTGTGGGTGGGGTTCTGGTGCTGTTACCTCCCCCCTCTCATGCCAGACCCCCCACCTCCCCCCCCCAACCCAAACCCAGCCCCTCGTGTGCTCTTACTAACACACACACTCTCGTGGGAGATTTTCTTTTTTTTTGTTGCTTGCTTTGTGTAGGGTGGAGACAGCCGGGCAGGTCCCCCGAGGAGGGTGTGTTCTGCTGGCTAGTCCTGTCTGATGAGCGGGCACGTTTCCGTGCGTGTGTGCACATGCTTCAGGATGTGTATTTATCAGGCCGATAGTTTTAATGTGCGTGTTTACTATGTTTCTTATTCTAATGAGCCAGTTCAAGGGCAATTATGTATTTACCCTGTAATTTGAAGGCTTTAATGTCAGATAAAGAAAATATCTAACCTCTATTCAGCTAGTATGAGGTTATTTAAGCAGGAATGTTTCAGTCAGGAGAAAGTAGGGTTTCGGCTTTCTGCTGAAGTAAGCAGGAATCTAGTGGCAGCCTCTCTATCTTCTGAGCGACAGCTGCCACTCAAAATCTTGTTCTGTTCAATGTTTTTTTTTTTAACATAGTTTAACAAATATTTGCTGTCCCCTAGCATTAAATGTCACCCACAAATTTCCAGAAACATTCTCTGTTAGAGAACAAAATGCTACCCTGATGAAGTCAGATTAAACTATGCAATCGTATCAGAATCGAACAAAGCTGCTGGTAGGCCTGTGTTCTTATAGCCTCGTTTTCTGGAACCCCTCCACCCCCAAAATGCCAGGCCATTGAAAATGAATTCTTTGGGTCCTCTGTTGACACCAGTGAAGTTGAAAAGAGGCCAGATGAAAGAAATGAGGAGTAAAGAGCCTCGAGGTCAACCTTCTGTCCCCTTCAGCTGAGTCCCAAGAGAGGCAGCGTGTGGTCATCAGGATGCAAATGGAGACTGAGAGTGTGTGTGTGCGTGTGTGTGTGTGTCTGTTTGTTCATTTATTCAGCGGTCAGTGATCTGCGTGACCTCCCAAAGGACCCTGACAAATGTTTCAATGGGCCTAGTCAGCATGGCTTTGTGTTGCCTAGCGCCACATCTGTCTGCCCTGTGACTGTCTGTGTGTGTCTGTCTGTGTGTGCATTAAAGAGAGAGGTATAGAGATATTGATTGGAGAGATTCAGATTGGAGAAGAATATGAGTGTGTGCTGACTAAGTGAAGGTACTGTCCGCATGAAAATACTCGCTAGTTTCGGGTATGACATCTGCTCTGAGTGGATTGACTGTGACGATTGTTTATATGTGCTTGTGTGTGCCCTATTGATTGGTGCTTTTGTGTGTTGATCTATTGATCAGGGCCATGTGTTTCCTCAGAGCTCATTGATCATACTTAATCACTGTTTGTCAAAAGGCTTCAGTCCCATTCACCACCTTTACATGGACCCAGGTTCTCTACTAATAATGATGATAATAATAGCCCAGGGACAGAAACATGGGGGTCACCTCCTCTGGGGCTATATGCCTTCATATTGACATGCATAATTTCACCAACCACTGCTGTGACATTTAGAAATGTCTCCGATTTTGGGCTTTTCGCTATAATCTGTTTGCGCCCACAACAAGAAATTGTATTCTTTAAAAAATGTATACAATAAATCTATATACACAACATTTTCTTGAAGCTGAACAACTGACTATAAATTGCAGGAAAAAGCTACTGAACAGGCTGAATAATTAGAAAGAACAGCACAAAGGGAAATATTGATCCCCTCCCCCCCTACCACTATTGATCAAATTGAATTTTTGGCAATAAATTCTTAAAGTGTTCCTTCTGTTTTTTGTTCATCAGGTAAGCAGATCTTCATAAATATATAGGATTTATTTTATCATCTCATGTAGCAAAATGGGATGATTTTATGAAACTGAGGAAACATTTTCCTGTGGAACCACAGCTGTTGTCCAGATTTATGTAGAGCCTATATATCTAAATCCTCCAAAGCATGCTAAGCCCTTCTTATCATATATACACACGCTATATACAGTTATGTAGTGCTTTTGCCGTCGGGGGTGGGCGGGTGGGATAAGTCAATGTGGGGTTCAGTGTCTTACCCAAGGACACTCTGACACCACCGACCTTTCAGTTGGAAGGCAACCGCTCGACCAGCTGAGCCACAGCCACCCAGAATTGGTGACTGAGTATCAAAGGTCTTCAGCCTGAAGTAGGGGGAGGTGTTTGTATGTGTGTGTGTGTGTGTGTTTGTACCAGGTGAAGGCAGACGTCACCCCAGGCAGCAGGTCTTTGAACCATTAGCTAGCAATGCTTCATTACAGCTACATGGATAATGCCTTTTCTTTGCAGTTTCCACCGTTACTGATGGTCATATTGTGTTTGTGTGTGTGTGTGTCTGTGTGTTTGTTGTGGGATTGCGTCCAGATGGCCCTCACAGATGGATGCTGCGGTCTTAGAGGAGATTACCCTCCTCTATTCCCGTCTCTGCGATGCTCCTTAAGAACACAGGAGCCCTGTGACACAGTAGCCCAGTTAGATGTGCTAACTCATTTAGCTGAACGCTAGCCCGACATTACCTTTAGTTTTAGTGTGTCCAGATGTGGGAGGCTAAGTGTGAATTAGTTCATGCTCCGTTAACCTCTCTTTATTCTAAATAGACGTGTCTGATCTAACAATTCGTGAATTCATCAAATCAGACAGAAAGAGAAAGTCATCAGTGCGTTAAAATACAGCAGATATTTGAGGGTGGTGATTTGTTGCCCGGAAAAGGAAGAGAGGGAAGTGAACAGACAAGGGCTTTGTAAAGTACTAAGTGGTTTATCAGTACCACCCCCCCAACACACATATACAGCAAGACGTAGGTCAGCTTCCTGCTCTTTGCTCTTTGGAACACCAGAAGTCTCTGGAGCAGATTAAGGCTCTCCAGCAATGGAAGCACCTGCACATGGACGTCGACACCCCCCCACCACCAATCCATGTGCTGACAGTCTGGCCTGAGTCTTACGGGTGTCATTCATGATTTGTTCGGCCCGCATTCTCCGTCAGGCTGATCCAGATTCAGCATGCTGGGTCGTGGGACATGTCAGCATACAGAATATCCACATACATCACAGTTAGAAATAACTAGCTTTAAAACCTGCACATAAATGTAGCTTAAGTTAATTTAAGTACTGAAATTGCTCCCCCTTTTTTGTTTTTGCATTTTATTTATAGCAAATAAGATGGCTCACCCATCTTTGATTATTTAGCTGTTTATTTGAGGCTTTTGACCAGCATGAAATTAAGACTTTGAATGGTGGAGTTCATAATAAGATACTGATGTTGATTCCATTAGGAAGCAAACATTCATTACGGGCTGCAAATGTTAAGTTGTTATATTTTGTATTTAATTGCAAGTAGTTGTGGTTCACAGATGGGTTCATGCTAATTTTATCCAGCCTAATATCCCAGAATGCACTGCACTTCAAACAAAGGATAGTTTTAATATCTGGAAGTAAATTCTTCTTCCATTTGTGTTTGTTTTCCCTCAACCAGTCACTTTATAGGATCTTGTGTTGCCACAAAGAGTACAGATATTATTGTTAATAATTAGCTGTATTTCACGTGTTTTTTTTCACAACCTCTCGCACTAACATGATCCCTGTGTGTAGCTTCATAAAGCTGTGTGCTGTATATGGTTCAGTGTACTAAAGCGTCTTAATCTGTTAAACTACAAATCTGTAGATTGGCACAAAATACTTTGATACTTTGACCTTTTTGCTGTACTTCCTGTCAGTACTTTGTATGTTGCTGCCTGTTAGTGTAAAATCACTCCAGGCTTGTGATTTCCATCAAACTGATTGTCAACATATGATTCAAATGATTTGGTCAAAGTGTTGGTTTATGTAAGTCCGATGTTAATGTGTCTCATGAGAGCATATATTCCTTTAATCCAGTGTTTTACAGAGGTTTAAAAGAGAGCTGCCCTCCTCTCCTCCGACTCCAATGAGACAGAACTATCAGCAGTACATACAAAAAAAGATGTAGACTTCGATAAGACCTGAAGACAAAAAAAAGATTCTTCAAAGCAGGTAAATGGACATAAACTGTTATGTCCATTTAGCCTTAAAAAGAAAATATAATAATGAATAAATAAGCCATCATTTTGTCAGTTGCACATTTCAATAATTAAAAACAAATTAGTTTGTTTTTTAGTTTTCTAAAGTTTAACTGATCATACCCTGAAGTTCAGACTTTCACAATGTGCCGTTTAATAACTGAAAGACATGCATCTGTTTTATTTAGAACATTATGCTGATACTGAGGCAGGAACAGGGAGTGAGGGTGTATGTGATTGTGTTCCACATCGGGTTTATTATTCTTAGCCGGGCGAGCTCACAGCATTGCACAAAAATAACACCAGTTTGTTTTAGGAACCCGTTACATCAAGAGTGTTCAGTTAAATGTTTGTTGGAGCATTGAGGCTAGGTGTAGTTGAGTGTGCTGATAAAGGGAGCGACAGACACAGTCTGACGGAGCTCTGCCCACAAGGGGAAACGCTGGAATGGTCAGGCAAGGACAGAGTCTATTTTTAGACATGATGGTGGCACACAATGACGTCTCTGTTTCATATCCGTCCAAGCTAGCAATAGCTGATGTGGTCAAATGATATATTATGATTTAAAAATGTCACACCTTATCTGTACTTCAGCATAAGCTACCCTGTCCAATGCCCTAACGACACATTTTTATACATAGGCTGTGGAAAGTTAACCTGTTGTCGTCTTCTCTGCAAACCTAATGGATGTGCACATTTTTTTATCATAATATTTTTTTTTTTTTTTTTACAGTAAGTTAAAATTACGAATGGGCCAAATGTTTCATGACACTTTGGTTTAGAGGTTTTTGACCGTGCTTCAGAAGCCTGCAGTTGCTTCTGATTGGGGATTAGTGCGGTGTGAGCCTTGACTCGCCTCTCATTTCTTTATATGTTGCCTGTAAGATTTTCGAGAGTTTCAAGAGTTATCATTTTTACACACATCTGACATGTTTACTTGTGCTGTCGGACTCACATCATTCTTTGAATAATCCCATGCAATAGTTCTTCAGAGTTCTTAGAGGGCATCCCAACGCTTTCTTCTAAATTTTGGCTGCTTTTCAGTTCAAACAACAGCTTTGTTAGGTGACTTCTTCTGTTTTAGTACGATAAAACAAGGAGTGGCTTAAGAGTTTCACACATAAATACCCTCTTTTCTTGCTTTAGACTTTGTTCGAGCTGAACACCTTCTTATTGCTTTACTACAGTTGATTGATTGTCATATGGCTGAGCAGTGAACGGGTTAATCATTTGACAATAACGGCCAGATTTAAAAAATACAGGAAATAGCCTGTTAGTGGTTTGTATATCTCCGATCATCTGAATATTTCTGATAGAAACTGAAAAGGTTCCCTTATGAATCTTGAGAAAGCAATGACATCCGTAGAATCCTATCAAGTGTCTGTTGTATTTGTAACATAAACACCACGAACACATCTGTAAAAGACTGTTATAAGGAACACCATCCTCCTCCATTATTCAGTTAGACATTGTATGAAAAAGAAAAAGGGAGTATGTCTGCTTTAGGACACAGGGCCTTTTTTGGCAAGTGGGAGTGTGTTTGTGTGCTGCATATTTTCTTAAACAGATTGCATGCTAGTACATACACACACACACACACACACACACACACACACACACACACACACACAAACACACACACACACACACACACACACACACACACACACACAGACACACACACACACACAGACAGAAGCAGCATATACAGCAAATTCCCACAATTCAGACCCAACCAATTTTTTTTTGTTTCTTTTCTTTCTTGTGCTCAGTTTAGACTTGTCACTGCTGATGGATGACCCACAGGAAATTACACTTAATTTAATCAAAATGTGTCTGAATTAGAATTCACGAGGTTCTCAGGCAAATGAGGGCCGTAAAATGTGTTAAATGTCCCCACGTTGCATAACGTAATTTGATGATGACTGATCAGAGTTCACCAGAATATGAGATGAGAATTGTGTGTGTGTTTTAGGACGTTGTTTTATGTTGCACAAATTTCTATTTTTCCTAATCTTCTCCTGAAATCCCTTTTCTCAGTCAGGTCTTCATCCCTTTTCCTTCCCTCTCTTTTCAGGGACATTAAGCCTGACAACATTCTGCTGGATATGAATGGCCACATCCGCCTGGCTGACTTCGGCTCCTGCCTCAAACTTATGGAGGATGGGACGGTGAGTTCTCACCATACTGCTGCTGTTGCTCCCTTTGGTCCAAAGCAAACATACCAGAGTTTTACTAACCCCTTTGTCAACCCCTGGGGGTCTCCCAGGAGGAGTGTGTGGTTCAGTTGCTTGGCTGCGCCTGCACTTTTGCTTCCAGATCTTACCAAAAAGAAAAATGATCTGATATTAAGAAAGTCCCAAAGATTAAAACCGAGGTCATTTGACATGTCAAAGTATGAAATAAAGACTATACTGATACATGGAATAATATATACATGTCTTTAATGTGCCATCTGAATATACATGCAGGAACTTGAGGTAAAAGGAAATATGATGCCTTAATGATGGATAGATTCAAACATCTGCTTTTCTCTTCAAATGTCAAACTTTTAGCTTTTAATTTTGACAATTAAAAAAAAAAAAGGAAAAAGAAAATGCAATGTAATATACAACAATAAATTGCATTTAAAGTTTCACACAAGCCTGAAAACATTAGACATGGTGAATTTACCTTTGCTGTTACTGAGACTGCCACTCATGGTTTGTTTTCGGTGAACATTTTTGCCCACCAGGTCCAGTCATCAGTGGCGGTCGGAACCCCAGACTACATTTCCCCAGAGATCCTCCAGGCCATGGAAGACGGGAAAGGCAAGTACGGACCCGAGTGTGACTGGTGGTCGCTTGGCGTCTGCATGTACGAGATGCTGTACGGCGAGACCCCGTTCTACGCAGAATCCCTGGTGGAAACCTACGGGAAGATCATGAACCACAAGGTGAGGCTACAGCCAACAGGACCCCTCAGCTTTGACCCACTTAAAAGGCACATTTTAAACTGTTCTAAACTCTGCTAAACACTCCAAAACAGGAACGATTCCAGTTCCCACAGCAGATAACAGACGTGTCAGAGGATGCCAAGGACCTGATTCGCAGGCTCATTTGCAGTCGAGAGCACCGACTGGGCCAAAATGGCATTGAGGACTTTAAACAGCACCCCTTTTTTACCGGTACAGTCAATCACATCTCTACAGGTGTTTCATTTTGTTCTGCAAGATGTCTGTTTCCTTCGCTGTATCATTTGTCAAGTCTGTGGTCGGTAGAAGTCATTTGAGATCATTATTTTCCTGCCCACGTGTTCCTTTTAAAAGTAGTCTGAGATGGATCTTAAAACCAACTACTTGCGTTGCATCTGTTTTTTTAGGTATTGACTGGGACAACATCCGTATGTGTGAAGCCCCCTATATCCCAGAAGTGAGCAGCCCCACAGATACCTCCAACTTTGATGTGGACGATGACTGTTTAAAGAACTCGGTAATGGATTTTTTTTCTTTGAAGGTGACAATTTTTCTCTATTATTTATTTATTAATAAATTTTTTTACTGGATAAAGAGAGAAAAAGCAAGCCTCTCTTTAAAACATTACATTGACGGCTCTTTTTATTTTAAATGATTACACATGGCCTGTGAATGAGTGAATGCACTCACCCATCTCATAATAGCTCAAATGCCTCTGAAATGTTGCAGATGAGGATAAACTTTTAACCAAAGCTTGTTTTTGTGATGGCGGTGTAGGGTGGGGTGGGGAATCGCAATTTAGTCTTTTCAACTAATATCAAAAGAACATTTTCTATTTCGAAATAAAAATGTAAACAGTATTTCTTTTCCTTTTTGTCTGTGTCATCCTTTTGAAGGGATCTTGTAAAATAATACCTGTCCAATGACGACATTTTGTGTCTTTCAGGAGACAATGCCTCCTCCCTCTCACACTGCCTTCTCTGGCCACCACTTGCCCTTTGTGGGTTTCACCTATACAAGTAAATGGTATGTATTGCTAAGAAAATAGAACAAATAAAACCACGTGTCCCCTCCCAACATTCTTATTATTTTGACTAAAAGGGAGGCAGTGCTTTCTGTCAGCAGTCTCCCAGTTCAAATTAACAGGAGCAGCCTGCCTCATTTGGAATTAGTTGTTTTAAATGAATGGAGTTCCCGTGCAAGCGTTCTCAATTCTGTCACTCCATCTAAAGAAGTGCAGAAGTGCTGATTTATCTTCCCTCCCTAATAAGGGGATGTTCACTGCTGTAAATCCTCACACTGCAAGGCTGCTCATGAGAAAGAAACAAACTTTCCAGTTTTCTCCTTATCTCTGCAGAGCTGGTGTTTTCTTTCTTTCTTTCTTTCTTTCTTTTTGTTTCTTTGTTTGTTTCTTTTTGTTTGTTTGTTTCTTTCTTTCTTTCTTTCTGCCTTTCTGTCTTTGTTTGATTCTTTCTTTCTTTCTTTCTTTCTTTCTTTCTTTCTTTCTTTCTTTCT